CAAACTTAAATATGTATTATACTTATATGTATATTCTGTATCCTAGTTAGAATTCAATATGTAAATTAATAATAAAGTTATATTCTTCATTTAGACTAGTTTATAGTATTGTACAATCAGTTTTAGGGCTAGGAAAACTCATATACATGAAATATAGGGAAAACTCACATATTGTGTTGTATCTTACTCAAATTTTGCTCATTTTAATATTTTTTTTCTGGAATATGAAAGATACTTCAAAAGTATAATTTTTACAACTTAGATCATGTAATTTGGTTAAGTATTAGTTGAGTTATAGTAGATTTTGTATTTGAGTGTACTTAGTGTGACAAAAATCACGAATCGCGCGTGTGACAATATTTATGAAAACGACAGTAAAACTTCATGTTTACGTAATCAAACAACTTATGGATTTCGATGAGTCTCGAGACACGAGTTGACCTTTCTTTATCGTCCGCTCATCGGTCGCCTTCCTCACGTAATGTTTCTTTCAATGTGCTGATACTCAACGTTGGATACGAAGCTTGACTAGACGCATACATCTCGTTCTCATTTCACACTAGATCACGTCTGTTTCAAAGCTAAACCACAACGGAGGCAAATCCTGACCATTCAAGATCCCGTGAATTCATAGCTGCATTCAATATACATATCAATGTCTGTACATAAGCTTCCCGCGGCGACGAATGAGCTTGAAAAAGCTCAGAGCCGACGTCGATTGCCAAACCTGTCGGACGACGACGATGGCCCGCGCGACTCTAATTCATCTTCCTCGACTGGTGAGGACGATGATGAGAATTGGGACGATTGGGTTTCAAGTGAGGGCGAAGAGCACGAGCCGTGCATATCCCTCTTTGACGGCTCGTCACATCCAAACGTGGATGCATCTCTCGCCTATGACAATGGAACCTTCGGTGTCGATATTCTGGCTATCGCGAGTCGGCTGCGTTTGGACTTCCACGGACGTGTACGTCTCGTGAACTACATTCGCAAGGTCAAACCGAGCACGGTTGACGTCAATGCACTGACGGGTCAAGAAGCGTTCTTCTCTACCGACGAATATCTAATCCCTGTCATTCAGGACGATCCACTCCTCCAGTTTGGATCGGACAACTGGTCGGACGATGAAGGCGAGAGCTGCGCAGCCTCGGAGGGGGGAGATAAAGACAAGATGATACGTGCACTCTCAAGACAACTCGAGCAGGCCAAGAAGGATCTGATGGATTTTCGAGCACTTGTCAAGCAGCAGTTCCGCGATTCAGAAGTTGCCAAGGCCTTGGCTGGTGAGAACGAGCAGGCCACAGCTTCGTCTTCGAAAGCCGAAGGCACACCTAAGAGGGATGACGATACTCATTACTTCGACAGTTATGGCGAGAACGGTACGTTCCTTCATTTCCGTCGAAGGAATTATGTTTAATTCTTCTCAGAAATTCACTACGTGATGCTTCGCGACAAAGTGCGCACATCAACGTATGCATCTTTCATTCTCAATTCACCTGATGTCTTTCGCGATGCAATCGTGCTTGACGTGGGTTGCGGTACCGGAATCCTATCACTTTTTGCTGTGCGTGCAGGTGCGAAACGCGTCTTTGCTGTCGACGCAAGCAAGAACATTGCAGAGAAGGCGAGGGAGATTGTCAGAATCAACGGATTGGATGATGTTATCACGTATGTTTCTTCCGTACCTTCCGTTAGATACTTATCATGAGAACCTATTCACGGGAATGTAGCGTTATTAACAGCAAGGTGGAAGATATCTCTCTGCCTGACGGAATAACTCAAGTCGACGTAATTGTCTCCGAATGGATGGGCTACGCACTTCTCTATGAGTCTATGCTCGACTCTGTCCTCGTCGCGCGTGATCGTTTTCTGAAACCCGTACTACATGCGAATGCACTAGCCAGTGAAGATCGCGGCCGCGAAGCAAGAGACGAAGAAAAGGAGAGAGGTGGCCTTATCGCTCCGAGTCAGGCGCGCATGTTACTAGCCTTATCATCAGCCAACGAGGTCGTTAAGGATCGAGTCGAATACTGGTCCGACGTACACGGTACGTTTTCAAGAAGTCAGTAGTCACGGAGTTGTAAATACTAACAGCTTCGCATGTAGGATTTGACATGAGCCCGATGGCAGAGGGTGTTTATGAGGATGCAATCATAGAAGTTGTTGGTTCCGAGACCCTTCTGAGCGATACGACAATCATTAAGGTACAACTACATCGTTAACTGCAGATTATTATTGGCTCTTTCTCATCACATTCACTACCATAGAATATCAATCTTGCGACTGTCAGCCCGCATCACCTCTCGTTTTCTGCACCGTTTGAGCTCCACGGCACTTCTGTGCGGAAGACCGTCGCACACGCTTTCATCCTCTACTTCGACATCTTCTTTACAGAGGATGGCGCTCAAGTTGGGGCGGGCGTTCGTGCACATGGAGCACGAGATGGTGAGCCCGTCTTGGCGGAAGTCTGGCGTCCTGGTTCACCAAGCCGTGCACGCTCACCATCTCTTCCTCGATCACCTACACGTACCCAGCGTCTGCGTCGCGCGAGTAGTATGAAGGTCAAGAAGGAGGAACCGTGGAAGAGCTTCACGACTGGTCCCGAGAACGTCCCGACTCACTGGAAGCAGACGCTATTCTTGCTGAAGGAACCGATTGTTGTTCGTGAAGGTGAGGTTTCACTGTCCAAATAATAAAGTGATATTTTCTCACTTGTGATTTAATCTGTGCAGATACGACTGTGTCTGGAACCTTTCACTGTCGTAAAAGCGCAGACAACTCCCGCGAACTTGACGTTGAGATTCACTATGTCGTTCGTGCGACAGATAGCGAGACAGATAGTACAGAAGAGAGTGCCATGTACATCCAGTCATTTAAAGTTCGATAGACGACACTAGACCAGAGTTCGGAGGAAAATCTGATACGGATGAGATGGAGTTTATCCTTTTATCATAGAAAGGGAGTGGGTAAGATCAGGTGTAGTACACCCATCACACGAGTGAACCGACCACAGATAACGAGGCGGTTTCTTGTATTTTTAGAATAGTTTGCTTAACACTCATTGAAATCACATTTCGCGTTTCTCGAATAGATAGATGATACCTACTTGGCTAGGCGGTCTCAATTATTCCAACGCGTTGCTCGTGACGGAAGTCATACGGAATTCATCTCACTGTCTTTCCGCTTCTTAATTTCACCCTCTGCTCAACTCGGAATTACATCGCAAGTTTGTAACCTCGCCTCGTGGAGTATCGGAAATCGCTCGCAAAACCGGTATTCTGCTGGGCGTCGAGCGAATCTGGATTGTCGCTTCAACTAGAAATATTATATAAGAGTGCAGTTGAGCGTTCTCATTTCCATCTGAGCTTCCGACCGCTTGTTCTCTCGGCGAAGTGAACCGACGTTGACCAATCTATCACCACCATGTCACAGTCATCTTACCCACCAACCCCGGACAACAAATCGGCGTTGAGCTCCGAGACGCTCGTTGCACAGAATATTTGCAGGAGCACAGTGAAGGACTACGAGACTGCGCTCGGAGGTCTGATGTCCCAGTATGGATACGGGGGAAATATCCCGGTTGTTCCGACAAACTCTACACTTCTACACTCTCTTGTGGACTTGGACAAAGGAGCCAAAATGGAACAAAGCTGCGGCACAGGGCTATAAGTAAGCGCTTTCCAATGACTTGTCCGCAGTGGAATAATGGAGTTCTCTTATCATCTTAACCACTCTTCCTCCAGAGCAAGCGTGCAAGGAAACATGTCATATTCTCAACAAAGTGATAAATGCATATTCCTACTGTAAGCAAGTAACTTGGTATTTATTGACTATCTTACCCGGTTTGTTGCATCACCTTATTACTTATGGGCTACACGTAAGTCGTTACCTTACTCTCGCTCATCAGTACTTATACTTTTGTCTATATCCTTAGTCTTGGACCCTCGTATATCATACTCTGGAATGAAACAGAATGCTATCAGTGATGCCCGACTGCTACAACTCATCGACGAGGCAAAGCGTACGCTCGAGGAACATTTTCATTCAACTTACGTTATTTGTTATCAAGGCGATACAATCTCTTCGGATGCTCTCATGGACAACACTGAAACAAGTGTACATGATATTGTGAGTCTTTTCTCCACCAACGAGCCGTCAAACAGTAACACTGAGCTTGAGGAGTACTTCTCCATGAAGCAGGAACGGTCATAGACAGACTGTGACCCTGTCAAATGGTGGGCTGGCCAATGTGCTCAGTTTCCTTTACTATTACTATTTGCTCGGGATATACATTGTATTCCAGGTATGTTGTTCTTTGCATCATTTTCAAATAATATTCAGGTCTGTTTTACAGGTTCTTCTGTTGCTGTTGAACAGATCTTCTCATCTGGACAAGATACTATTGCTTTTCGTTGTTCAAGCCTTTGCCCTGGAACTATTGGGGACTTGATGATGGTAAAGCATACTTTGAAGGCAGTGAACAAGTCTATTTAGTTATATTCAATGTCTATAGTAACTACACTACCTATATACCTTCTTTGTAAGCGTATACGCCGTATATGCTGTATACGCTACTAGCGTATCGTATAGCTCCCCCAGACTCTACATTTACGCGCGTAAGCGTATACGCTACGCGCAGAGCACTAGACTATTATCCAGCTCCTTAAGCAGACAGACGAATGCTGCCTCTTCATACAAGAATATGTACGCCATAAATTCGTAGGTTCGTCCATTTTCTCACTATGTCAATTCCTGTTACCTCAACACATATTAGGACGCATGGTCATGCTGAATGCTGATGCGACGATCGATACGTTCCTTGAGTCGCTACGAACACTCAAAACCTCGATAGATTCCGGTGTTATCGCTCATATTGCTTTCGTCTCTTCTCGGATCTCTTCCAGGGTCGATGCTTTGTGTACGTGTCATGTCTTTGTGCATCAAGAGTTTCTCTGAATAATGTAACTAGTTTTGAAGAGCCAGCTTGGTCCAGACGAGAGGGACGCGTACCACAGATCTCAATGCCTTCCAGGAACACGTGTGAAAATTCAGAAGGATATTGTAGAGTGGGCGTCATCGTGCTCAGATCAGAATGTCTTCTGGTTACACGGCGTTGCTGGCTCTGGAAAGAGTGCAGTTAGTACAACTATTGCGGAACACTTCCGTACCATTTCCCGTCTCGGTGCCCATCTCTTCTTTGAACGCGGGAAGAGTGATCCCAGCACTGTCATCTGGACGCTTGCTTATAAGCTCGCCGCGTTTGATTCTTCGGTAGCGAAACACGTCAGTATAGTCGTCGAACAGGACGAAGAGATTGCTCGGGCCACTGCTGCAATTCAGTTTGAGAGTCTTATTCAGGGCCCTCTCACTTTGGCTTCGGATTCAGTGCAAGGGCCCGTTGTCATTGTCCTTGATGCATTGGATGAATGTGGTGCGGAGGGAACAAGACGATCACTGTTGGATAGTCTTCGAAAAGGTCTCCCTTCTCTACCCAAGCGATTCCGATTCCTCATTACGAGTAGGAAGGAAGTGGATATTAGTCACGCCTTATCTTCCTTGCCTAACCACATTGTTTCCGTTGAACTGGAACACGACTCGTCAAGATGTAGGGACGACGTACTTCGTTATATTGATCACGAGATGCGCAACGTATTCGCAAAAAACGAGCTGCTCATTCCGGGCGATTGGCAGTTGAAGATGGATCTTCTCGGAGGTGCGGCAGGTGGACTTTTCATCTGGGCGTCGACGGTAGTGAAACTGGTGGATTGCGATGACCCAGTAAGGAAACTTGAGAAACTAATCTCTCACTCGCAAGGCTTGTCTGGGCTCGACCAACTGTACGATTCTATTCTCAGAGGGTCACGCATCTCATTCGATGACGAAGCGTCCAAGTCCCGATTTTCACAGATTCTTGGTTTCATCCTTCTTGGCAAACTCCCGCTGACAGATAATATGATCGACAAGCTTCTTGAATTTTCGGATGACAGACCGTCACGACTTATCCTTTCTCGTTTACAGCCCGTTCTCGTGTATACCCCCGGATCTCCTATTCGTTTTTGCCATACATCCTTCCGAGACTACTTATTGGCTCCGGAGCGCCAAAAAGATCCCTGGTTCATCGATCTCGAGTCTCAAAAGGAGCTCGTAGCTTTACAATGTTTCTATGCCATGAGTCACCATCTCAGGTTTAACATCTGCAACATAGAGTCTTCGTACTGCTCCGATCATCAGATCCCGGACCTCCCGGATCGCATCAGTGCTAATGTTCCTCCGCAGCTGCCGTATGCATGTATGTTTTGGCCACAACACCTATACGAGGCGCAATTCTCACACGAGTTACTGGACGAGCTGACAAGGTTCCTACATAATCGTTTGCTGTATTGGCTCGAGGTGATGAACCTCTTGGGAAGGATCAATGTTGCTAGCCCTGTGCTCCTTCATGCCATGAATTGGGTCTCGGTGAGTATACGAATGTATTCTCGGAGCTGAAACTTATGTTATCCGTCAACTAGTTGTACAATGCTGACATCCTGGCGTTCCTCAGGGATGCACGCAGAATGATTACTATATACTTACCTGCAATATCGCAATCGACGGCGCATATATACGTCTCTTTCCTTCTATTTGCATCGATGGAGTCGAAGTTCGTGTCACGTTACCTAAAGCCTGATTTGCCTATTGTAAAAGTAGAGCATTTAGGCGAGAGCCAGCACTCACCGCTCTTGAAGGTGCTCACAGGACATGCCAGGTGTATCGCTTGTGTTGCTTTCTCGCCAAATGGCGCCCGTGTTGCCTCTGGTTCCTGGGATAACACAGTTCGCATTTGGGATGCTGAAAGTGGAGATGTAATTTCCGGCCCATTGGAAGGGCATGAAGACCATGTACGGTCTGTCGCATTCTCTCCCGACGGTGCACGCGTAATCTCCGGATCAGATGATAAGACGATTAGAGCTTGGGATATTAAGGTCGGGCAAGTCATTTCTGAGCCTTTCAAGGGACACACTGGTCCTGTCCACTCGGTCGCTTTCTCGCCGGATGGGTTGTGTATCGCCTCTGGATCAGCCGACAGGACCGTCATGGTCTGGAACGTTAAAAGTGGAAAAGCCGTTTCTGTGCATTTCGAAGGGCACGTAGGTGATGTGAATTCTGTAGCATTCTCACCTGACGGAAGACGCATCGTCTCCGGCTCTGATGACAAAACAGTTCGAATCTGGGACATTGGGAGCGGACAAACCATTTGCAGACCTCTCGAAGGACATACAGGTCGTATCTGGTCAGTCGCTTTCTCTCATGACGGTAGACGTGTTGTCTCAGGCTCTGCGGACAACACGATCCGAATCTGGAATGCTGAACTCGGGCAATCCGTTTCCGAGCCTTTCAAGGGGCATGAAGATGAAGTAAATTCCGTTGCTTTCTCGCACGACGGGAAACGTGTCGTCTCCGGTTCTAGCGATACGACTATTCGAATCTGGGATACTGAAAACGGGCAGGTCATCTCCACTCCTTTCGAAGGCCATGCTCTTGATGTTCTGTCCGTTGTATTCTCTTCTGATGGGACCCGTGTCGTCTCAGGCTCTATAGACTACACAATCCGAATATGGGATGCTGAAAGTGTACAGACCGTTTCTGGACAATTTGAAGGGCATGCATATCAAGTAACGTCTGTTGCTTACTCGCCTGATGGGAGACGCATTGCCTCTGGCTCTTTCGATGGTACAATTCGAATCTGGGATTGTGACAATGGAAATAATGTTTCCGGACCCTTCAAAGGGCACCTATGGCCAGTGTGGTCCGTTGCCTTTTCACCGGACGGAGGGCGTGTCGTCTCTGGCTCCGCCGATCGTACGATCCGACTCTGGGACGTTGAAAGTGGGAGGATATTATCCGGCCCTTTCCAGGGACACGAAGATTCAGTTCAGTCTGTCTCCTTCTCGCCTGAGGGGACACGCGTTGTGTCTGGCTCATGTGATAAAACACTCCGAATCTGGGATGCCGAAAGCGGACAGATAGTTTCTGGTCCTTTCAAAGGCCACGAGGGGGATGTTCAGTCCGTCGCTTTCGCGCCTGACGGGAGATATGTAGTATCCGGCTCTACAGACAATTCGATCATACTCTGGGACGTCGAAAGCGGTAATATTTGTTCTGGGCTCTTGAGAGGACACACAGATTGCGTTCAGGCAGTGGCTTTCTCACGCGACGGCACACATGTCTCCTCTGGTTCTTCTGATAAAACCGTCTTAGTATGGAATGTTGAGAGTGGACAGGTCGTGGCTGGGCCTTTCAAAGGCCATACAGGCGAAGTTAAGTCAGTTGCCTTCTCTCCCGATGGCACACGCGTCGTTTCGGGTTCCACTGACATGACAATCCGAGTCTGGGACGTTAAGAGTGGACGGGACATCTTTCCACCTCTTGAAAGCCATATTGACTGGGTGCGATCAGTCGACTATTCGCCTGATGGAAGACGGGTTGTTTCTGGCTCTCTGGATCGTACAATCAGAATATGGAACGTGGAGGGTGAGAGGGTTTCTTTCTTGCTCAACAGTCTTTCATGACTGACACACTGTTCATTGCTTTTACTCTCGATATAGATGCTGTCTTCGATTGGACTATGAATGAAGATGGGTGGATATGTAGACACGGAATGCTACTCTTATGGATTCCGCCTAACATCCGGAGGACTCTTTGGCGCCCTCAAACTACTGCAATGTTAAATTGCGCATTCTCGACAAAGCTGGACTTTACAAACGCTGCTCTCGGGGAACGATGGCAGGAATGCTTTGCCCGACTTGAGTAATATTTTTGTCCTGTGATTCTATTTTGTCTATGTAGCTAGGTTATCTCTGGCTTGTCCTATAGAGCTTTACATGCTTTTTGGACCAAGGAGGGACACCAGAATGTCAGACCTTTGTAAGCCTCTCACGTCGGAATTTCTTTAGGGAGGACGAAGTTAAGGCTGGAGAAACCTCTCCAACATCCTCTCCTTCAGAAACGCCCGCAACATCTTCTTATTTCCTGCATCTTGCCGTGCCGATGTTGGATAGCTTATTGCCTTGAGCCCAGGCTTTTCAGACTCTGCATTGTGTAGGCACGGTATAGTTTTGGGGGTTTATGGTCTATTCAGAAGTAGTTTACTGATACTTCAAAAAGCAGGGGTGAAAGGGAGGAAGTGTGGGGATGACATGTGGAGGACTTGGGAAACAAGTACTTGCGTTATGCATGCCAGTGATTTATTGAATATGGCATGTTAGTCAAATTCGGGAGCAGAGTCATATCATGAAGTCGATTGCTTGTATTTTCTCTATAGGTGAGAAAAGAGAAAGAATGACAAGTTTAAAAAAATATGCATGCAGTAATATACAGGATGCAGATATGGCCTCTACGAACCCAACAGATGTATGACAGTAAGACCGTATGCAAAAAAATAGGGAAAATGCAACAAGGAGAATTATAAACAAAGCGAAACAAGGGATCACAAAATAGATACTCAAGAAAAATCTGACAACGCAAACCTATGGACTCCTATCACCAGACTCGGAGCCCTCGATGTCCGTATCCACCCAGCTCTCTGACTCTGTATCTAAATCGATTATTTTAGGAACTCCATTCGACAAGCCGAGGCGCAATCTATCGATTCCCGTCCCGTCTTGCATTCGCGCGAGGTTCTGCAAATGAGAAGCGGAAAGAGGCTCTCGCGAATACATTACCAGTCTTTCATCAAGATTATCGTGTTTCTGTTCAAGATTCTGGGTAGCAGAATCTGTTGGTGGGCTTGATACCGTTGATTTTGCTACATCTGCTTCCCGAGAGTGTACGTTCTCTTGTCCGAATCGAATATCCGAAGTTGCAACAGCATTCTCACTCGCTCCATCATGTCTAGTCTTTGGGTTCGCCTTTCGGATCTCATGCAGATGCGCACTCTTAGCCCACTTCTTCGCAGAAAGTGGTGCGGCTATGATACCTTCTCGCATGGACAGCGAATGCACCACAGGTGCAGGTGCAGTATGCGAGCTTGCACGCCGTATACGTGGACGGGTGACTACCTGACTGATTGTTGCCGAATTTGATCCACTGTGACCTAACCGTTGTCCAGCATAGACGGTGAAGTTGGCGGACGTAGGTGTCCGCGGTCTATGAGTGACCACGTGCCGAGAATGGGGAGTCCGAATCTCTGCAATTGAACGTCCTCTCGTAGGCATGGGTGCTGCTAGAGTTGTTGAAGAACGCTGAGGCGTCTCATCACCATCGTCAGGTTTTCGTCGGGTCGGGAACCTGACTTTATCTATGATTTAGAAGTTAGATGATTATAGTATTAATCAGTGGTTGAACGTACCACTTTTCTTGTCAGGAATAGAACTCTTCACGAAATCTCCTGGAATTGGGGTGGGACTCCCGGCTCGAAGTTTGGACGCCCATTCACCACTACTTAAGCTACTTAGATGCCGACGGCCCCATTCTCTAAATGAGCCTCTCCGTTCAAGTGACGCTGGAGCGATAAATGGTTCGCCACGCGATCCTCGTGTAAGTGCCATAAAGACAAGAACGGTAAGCAGGAGACATAGTTGCGCAATTCCTAGTCGCTTCTCTAATATCACTTCGTCCGTAAGAAAATCGACACGTGTTTGGAGTTCGCCATGCTCGCGCTCAAGACGTCGGCGTTGTCTGTCCATTTCGTTGATAATCTTCTGGAACGATTGTGTGGTGGCTTTACTCTGTTTACCTAGGTGAGATTACGCTAAACAAGAAGAATGGAATGTGACATACCAATCCTTCCAGACGACCCACATCCTCTTCTAATCTCGTCAAAGCATCCCGTAGGCTTCGGGTCTGTTCCTCAACGTATCGCAAGTACAGTGTAGAATTCTGTTCAAGGGCGCTAAGTCGCGTCATAATTGTCCGATAAATGGATTCTCCAGAAGCAGACGCTGCTGAGGCGGGCCGCGTTTCTTGGGGGACAACAGTAGTTACCTGAGGCGAAGACCCAGTAATGGAGGATGTTGAGTCCGGGTTTCGAATTGAGTCAGGGTTTCGAATTGAGTCAGATGAAGATGGGTCAGAACTCTGGGAGCTGGGGGAAGAGCTACTTGACGCGACGGTATCCGAGCCGGCAAGTTCGGAAGAAGGTTGGCTTGACGTGAGTGACTCGCCGCTGGAAGGAAGAGATGAGTGGGGAGATGTATCACTAGACGACTCTGTTAAAGACTCCGAGGAGACAGTGCTCTGAGAGTCGACAGAAAAAGATGGTTCACCAGTGGACTTCGGCACATTAGTGACGACGGGAGATTCCGAAGTAATGATCTCAGACAACGAGCTTGTAAGAGTTGCTTCAGATGATAGCGACTCCTTCGGCTTGGTTGGTGATAGAGTAGTATCTACGGTATCGCTTCTTGAGAATGATCTGCTCGGCCGCGAAGGTGATTCCACGGAAACTTCAGGCGACTCGGAGCCGTCCGGCCTTTCCTTTACAATGGTCACAGCATCTTCTGCTTCAACCTGAGCTGTCGCATCTATCGAGGGAACAGTAGCGGCATTGGCAAGTTTCTCCTGGTATTCCGATTCCCATATTTCCCATTTCCATTGTTCGAGGTGCGTTAGACCGTAAACGCGTAAAAGGGATATTGGACAGTAATACTCGTTCCCATAATGTGAGTGGAAGTCAATCCGGATAAAGCGATAAAAGTCACGAAGGGTCTTCGGAGGATGAAAAGACTGTTTGGTAGCAGCTGAACTCAGAAACTCATTAAATATAAGGAAAAAAATAGAGAAACGGACCTGGATACCACGAATGTTCTTGGCGCGGTATGTCCCAGCAGGTGTCCATGCTTCAGGATCAGCTGGGTTTGTTCGAGCAACGCTGACGCTGAAATCCTTGAACACTCCACTAAAGAACTCGAAATTCGCAAGCTGGACGGTATCAATTCGAATATCTTCACAGAGTTCGATTACGACAAACTTGTCTTCGCCCGGAGTGTCACATGGACTCAACATGTATTTGTCCTTTTTGGATGAGAGGAGGGAGGAGGAAGACCGTGCAGAACGATGTGAATAGTGTACGCGTGCGGAGCAGTCAAGACTAGCGTAATTGAACCGATCAGTTAAAGGGACACGGAAGTGCGCTGGTGGAGGTGCAGGAGCTTCGAGTGAGGAAGGATCATCCACGCTATGTGATAAATCTTGAACTTGTTGTCGAGGGCTGGAAGCGTCGGTACGCGCATTTGGCTCTGAGGACGCGTCTCTAGGCTTCTTGCCATCGGCTTCTTCTCGTCGCTGCTGTTGCAAAGCTTGCTCCTGCTTCGCTTTCCACTCCTCAAACGAAAGGATCTCCTCCGCAGGTTCGCTTGACGGCAAAGGCCTCAGGCAGCATACGGGAGGTTCTGGAGGACGCTGTGCGAGCTTCTCTATGTTATAGAACGGATCCAGAGGAGTAGTTGGCTCGGCGGCTTGAGCTAGAGTCGACAGAAGAGCAAGGAGGCCAGCCGGCAGCAGAAACGGCCTGTACATGGCATAGACGCAGTCGTCGACCGCGTTAGTGATGGCGGCAACACGGTGAATGCTACGCTGCCACTGTATGACTGACCACGTATACTTACAGCACACAGCAGGGAGCACGACCCGCATTCGGCACTTTCGGCGCCACGTCCGTGAGATCCGCGTCCGGTGTTTGGCATCTCTTTGGTCGTGTAGTAGTGAACATCAACTTGAATTTTGTTATTTTAATCCCATATCCGTCTGCATAATATATAATCTAATTATATGGATAGCACAGTATCCTCTATCTCAGAGTCCTTACTGTGGCAAATTCATAACTATCACAATAGGTCAGAAAAAAGCAAGAGGAAAAGTTGTAGGCAGGGTCTGTTCTTTCTCACATTCTTTATTCTTTTGTAAGGTTGCTTAGAGGAACTAATTTAAGCTTGGTGTCAGTGCTTTAAATGTGATACAGATGTAATACTTTCTAATATCTTGTATTATACTCTTGCACCTGATGGGACAAAATTTGGGTCAGTAACAGTGTTACAAGGTACTTGGGAAATTGATTAGAAAATATTAAGTTACTTTTCTTGTATGAAAGTAGTCTTTCACAATTTATTAATCAGAGTACTATTTAATAATAAATTTCCTATTCTTGTCTATGTTTAATGTTTTACACCTACTCATTTCTGTATTTTTTAGTATATATATAATGTAACAAAGAATTTGATAAAAAGTTACTATATTATATTTTATGTTAGAAACATTCTTATATAGTAGTATAGCTTTACTTTGTTTAAATTCTGCTTGTACAAAGTGTCAGACTCTTCTATAAGAACTGTGATTGAGGACAGATATAGTACTGGTTGTTAAAGTAACAACAAAGTATCCCTTATTATACTAATACTTTATTAACTCACATTTGTCTGACAGATTAACTTTTTAGTAAAAGAAAAGAAATACTAACACTAATATTAGAATTATACTGTCTGTCTACTCTATTAATATACTACTCAGAATCATGTTTCTTATACTATTTTTTCTGATACACACCTCTAATAGAGTAACTAGAGTCTTATATAAGTAGACTAGTACTAAGAAAGGCTTTAGAAGGGTAAATTAAAACACTAAGTTATATAAGTGTATAATAACATTAGGAATGTTCATAATCTATTCTGTTAGTTCATATGTATGAATAGTCTAGAATCTTACTATATTATGTATAAGAGTAGAATATGTAGACAAGAACTTTCTCTATATGAGTATGTGAGTTAACTCTCTTTCTACACACTTTTTTATAAATGTAGTATGATTTACACAAATTCTTACCTTTGTGTATTAGCAAGTTGTACTTACTCTCAAGGTAAGCTGACATTTTAATATATTATAAATCTTGTTACTTATAATACTTTTGTTCTGTTCTTTTATTACTACATTTATTACATTTATTCTTGTTTTAGTACTTTGAGCAAGACAATCCAAATACCTACTATAGAAAGAATATCACTTTATAAATTATTAGGAAGACAGTGTCAGTAACAGTATAGAGGGGACCCAAAGGCTCAGCAAGGGGACCCAGGCTACAACTATCCTACACAACAGAAATACAGAATGCAAGTACTAGAACATAGTTAGAACTTGCAGAATGGGTAGAGAGGGAGAGTGAGACAAGAGTAGAGTATATAGAGTGAGCCTAAGAGTACAGGACTACCTGGAGTAGACAAGATCAAGACTATAGGACCAGTCTGATCTTGTATACCTATATATACTAAACTACACAAGAGTACTCAGAGAGTATGAGCTACTAAGAATGATAAGCTACAAAGAATGAAAGAAAGGAATGTTAAAGATAAAGGTACAAAGAATGAAAGGATAAACAAAGGGTAAGAGACTATAGAATGAACAGAGAATAAAGGAGTAGTTAAAGGAATAGAGTAATGAAGTAAGGAAGGGTAGTAGTAAGAGTCAGTATGTATATAGTCTATAGACAGTACTTCTGAGGGACAGAAGTCCTGAGTTCTAGTATAGAAGGGTGTAGAACCCTTAGAACTGAAGGTAAGAGAGTAGAGGATTGTAACATTACCCCCTCTCTAAAACCAATCATTCTAATTGGTGAACATTAGGTTTGGTTAGTGGCTCAGGTATAGGTCAGAACAGTAGGGTTTGGAAATCCATAAGACAGAGTTAATACAGAGCACCTGAATAAAGTTAATAGAAGTCTTGGATTGCTTTAGCAGTATGAGTGAGATTCTCAGCAGGTTCTCAAGTATGTTCTTCAACTGAGTATCCTTTCTAGTAGATAAGGAACTTAAGCTTTCTGTGTACTAGCTTAGTATCTACTATATACTCTACTTTATATTCTAGTTCAGAACTAATAAGTTCTAGTAGAGGTGGTGAGGGTCTTTGTTGTAAAGGAAAACTTGAATCATAGTACTAAGACAGTAGAACCTTGTTGAACACTGAGTGTATGTACTTTCATATTGTTAGAAGTTAGAGTTTGTAGATAGAGGTACTAACCTTCTTTTCAATAATGAAGGGTCTGAAGCACTTGTTGTCTAACTTCTTCATTAAACAATCTGTAGTCAGGTTAGTAGCTTCTAGTATAACTTTGTTACTAGGCTGGTAATCCTTAGCTACAGACTTCTTCCAATCATAGTTCTGCTTCATAACCTATACTATCTTTTCTAAAAGAGCTTATACATCCTCCCTGGTTCTGTACATCCATTCTACAAAGTCTGTTACAGATTCAGAACTACTGTTCCAGTTCAGAACTGTCCCCTAGTACAGATGTCTCTCATGATTAAGAAAGAACAGAGACTGTCCTGTTGTAGAGTGTTACTAGTTATTGTGTATGAATTCTGTTAGAGCTAACTATTCAGACCAATCTGATTACTAATAATTGATGAACATTCAGAGGTAGAGCTTGATCTCCTAATTGACTTACTCAGTTTGACTGTCAGTCTGTAAGTAATAGGTAGTAGAGAGGTTCCCTTGAATTCTGAGAAGCACATACAAGTCCTGTATAAATTTTGACTCAAATTACAGTCCACAATCATGAATGAGCTTCTGAGAGAGTCTGTACAACTGAAAGACATGATTCTAATAAATACATACTATACCTTTAGAAGTGAGTTCTGTTTAGGTTAGAACTGTATAGACTTGCTTAAAGAATTGGTTAACAATTATACAGATAGTGTTGTAACCCTAAGACTCAGGTAGCTTACTAATCAGGTCTACTAAGACTTCTTCCTAAGAGTGATCCAGAATCTAATGTAAATGTAAGAGAGTCTGAACCCTTGTCTGGTAGGCCTTAGTCTGTTAGCATATATTGTAACTAGTCATGTACTTTAGGATTTCCCTCTACATTCTAGACTACTAGTAGTTCTAAGTGATGAGTTCCTACATTTTGTGTTGGTCTGAATGTTCTACAGTCAGATTGTTATAATGAGCTCAGACAATGTTCTCTTACAGCTTCTAATCCTTTAGAACATACAGTCAGCCTTCCTAGTAAACCTGTCCATCCTTATCCTCCTCCTAATCCCTAGCCTACTTCTCTAACTACTTTACTATAACCTAGTTCTGTGTGTGTCTTAGAGCTTACTGTATGTAGGTGACAAAGTCAACATTCTTGAATTCAAGTCAGATCTCTTAGATTGTCTCAGACATGAAACAGGAATTGTTTAGGAGAACAAGATTTTTGTTATTATTCTCTCTCCTTTTATAACTTACTTGTCTTAAGAGTAAATCAGCTTTTGTCATTTGTGTTCTAAGTTTGTGAGTTAGTACAAAGTTATAGTCCTACAGTTCTAACATCTAGTAGGCTTAGTAGTAGTTGAGCTTCTGAAACACTCAGAAGTATTAGAGATTAAGGTAATCACTCTAAATCTTAAACTTCTGTACAGTATTAAGGAGATATTAATACTACTCCTCTAAGGAACAGACAATTGTAAGGAGTTCCTTATTATAGATAGGGTAGTTCTGTTCTGTTATAGAGAGGGATTCTGATCAGAACACTATCAGACACTACTTTCTGTTAATGAACTAGGACAGTACTACTCTATTTGTAAAGTTGGAGAAGTTAGCTTTAACTCAGAACTTGTTCACAACTGTCAGAACTACTAATACAGATTTGCTAGTAATAGTCTACTTTAGGGACTCAAATGTAGACTACTACTGATCCTCCTATTACTAAGGAACATCTTTACTAGTAAAATTATAAAGGGGCTAGACAATAGTACTAAAGCCTTAAATAAAGTATTAGTAATAGTTTACAAACCTAAAGAATGCTTGGACCTGTTTCAGGTTCTAAGGTTGTAACCAGTTCTGAACTACAGTTACCTTTGTCAGATTCATACAGACCTCTCCTCTACTAATTACAAAGCCTAGATAGTCTACTGACTCCTATACAAAAGAGTACTTTACTTCTTAGAGGAACAGCTTATTATCTTAGAGCTATTGTAGAACTGCTCAGATTAGTTAGTAATAGTACTCAACTGTCTGAGTAAAGATTAGAATGTTATCTAAATACACACTAACATACTCTGAGTCAATCAGATCCACAAGAATGTGATTTATGAATGACTAGAACATTGTGAGTGAGTTAGTTAGTCTAAAGAATATTATAGTCAGTTTGTACAATCTGTAATTAGTTTAGAACACAGTCTTCTACTCATCTCTATCTTAGATTCAAATATTATTGTATCCCTATCAAACATCCAACTTAGTAAAAACCCTGGATGTATGTGTCTTATTAATGAGCTCCTAAATTAGAGGGAGTAGATACTTATTTTTGACAGTACTCTTATTAAGACAATAATAATCCTAGACTGAGTAAAGCTTTCTATCTTTCTTTTTGACAAAGAAGAAAGGGGAGGCTATAGAGGACTTTAAGGGTTGGATCTGACTGTTCTGAAGATTTTCCTAAAGGAACTTGTCAAGCACCTCCTACTTGTCTCTATTAAGTAGGTAGACCTTACAATCCTTAAGTTGGAAACCCTTAGTCAATTCAATTGTATAGTCCTAAAGACAGTGTTTAGGAAGCTAGTCAAA